CTCCAATGATAGTGAGTGGCTACTGCAGTCCTCAGATACCCGCAGCCTCCTTGAAACAAAGAAGCCTGTAGATGTGCGGAGCTCCAATGATAGTGAGTGGCTACTGCAGTCCACAGATACCCGCAGCCTCCTTGAAACAAAGAAGCCTGTAGATGTGCGGAGCTCCAATGATAGTGAGTGGCTACTGCAGTCCACAGATACCCGCAGCCTCCTTGAAACAAAGAAGCCTGTAGATGTGCGGAGCTCCAATGATAGTGAGTGGCTACTGCAGTCCTCAGATACCCGCAGCCTCCTTGAAACAAAGAAGGCTGTAGATGTGCGGAGCTCCAATGATAGTGAGTGGCTGCTGCAGTCCACAGATACCCGCAGCCTCCTTGAAACAAAGAAGGCTGTAGATGTGCGGAGCTCCAATGATAGTGAGTGGCTACTGCAGTCCTCAGATACCCGCAGCCTCCTTGTAAAACAGAGAAGCCTGTAGATGTGCGGAGCTCCAATGATAGTGAGTGGCTACTGCAGTCCTCAGATACCCGCAGCCTCCTTGAAACAAAGAAGCCTGTAGATGTGCGGAGCTCCAATGATAGTGAGTGGCTACTGCAGTCCACAGATACCCGCAGCCTCCTTGAAACAAAGAAGCCTGTAGATGTGCGGAGCTCCAATGATAGTGAGTGGCTACTGCAGTCCTCAGATACCCGCAGCCTCCTTGAAACAAAGAAGCCTGTAGATGTGCGGAGCTCCAATGATAGTGAGTGGCTACTGCAGTCCACAGATACCCGCAGCCTCCTTGAAACAGAGAAGCCTGTAGATGTGCGGAGCTCCAATGATAGTGAGTGGCTACTGCAGTCCTCAGATACCCGCAGCCTCCTTGAAACAAAGAAGCCTGTAGATGTGCGGAGCTCCAATGATAGTGAGTGGCTACTGCAGTCCTCAGATACCCGCAGCCTCCTTGAAACAAAGAAGCCTGTAAATGTGCGGAGCTCCAATGATAGTGAGTGGCTGCTGCAGTCCACAGATACCCGCAGCCTCCTTGAAACAAGAAAGCCTGTAGATGTGCGGAGCTCCAATGATAGTGAGTGGCTACTGCAGTCCTCAGATACCCGCAGCCTCCTTGAAACAAAGAAGCCTGTAGATGTGCGGAGCTCCAATGATAGTGAGTGGCTACTGCAGTCCTCAGATACCCGCAGCCTCCTTGAACAAAGAAGCCTGTAGATGTGCGGAGCTCCAATGATAGTGAGTGGCTACTGCAGTCCACAGATACCCGCAGCCTCCTTGAAACAAAGAAGCTTGTAGATGCGCCGACACCACTGAGGACTAATAGGGAATGCCTCACATCCTGTAATTGTACTAGCTCTCTATACACATGACACCGGTGTGTGCAAGTGTGAAGTGCAAGCACTGCTGTTTGCCGGCAAAAATAGCAAAAAACATAAGAATCTTATACATTTGACAGCGTATTTACTATATCAAATGTATACAATGTTTGCTTGGCAACACTCTTAAAATTTGGCGTTACTTTGTTATAATTATGTGATAATACTAACATTCTACCCAAGAGATTTTGATAGCTACAAGTATCTTCTTCGATGTCTCTGGCTAAAATCCATACATGAAACCCTGTTCTATCCTGGTACCCACTCTCCATCTAGAATCAAAGGAGTACATATATTTTATTGCGCGCAGGTCGGCACTAAACAACTTTTTTCATTATTTATTATTAATTTATTTCCTTGATTACTACCCAGCAAATCTCATTAACTATTCATTTATTGCTTAATTTACCAACTGTCAAAAGTCCACTGCTAAACATAGGCTCTGTCATACATTGCCTTATAGGCAATATATTTTTAATAATTGCAACACTTGACAGGCAGACTTGCAATCGCTTTCTTTACTGTCATCTGTCTTCTACTTTTGGCTTATTCAATGTTTATTTTCCAAGGGACCCATACTAAGTGTTCATACGTAATGACAGTTATACGAAAAAAAAAGAGACTGTTCTCGTTTGCTAATTTAATTTTGTTATTTGTATATTATTACTTATTATTTCAATCAAGTCATGACATTATTTTACTGTGAATATAATATTGTGATTGTTAAAACTTAATATCGTCGGAATATGCCAGAAGGATCTTAAGACTTGCAATTAAAATTTCGAATGTGCTATCTAACTTCTGTATTTAGGTAACTTAATATTATATAACTACATAAATATTCTTTCCTTTATTTATTTCTTATGCTATTACAATGGTTTTTATGTTGTATAAAAGTTTATTTTATTTAAATATTCTCTGAAAAATACATTTCTGACATACAAAACGTAAGGCTTTATAAATGTGAAATATACAGTGAAATCAAATTAGAATATATTTTAAAAATAGAACTGGTTTTTTTTTCCTACAAAATAAATTCAAAAAGTTACAAAATATAAATTCTAACCTGCATACTATTAGGAAGAGATAGATAGTAATTCAGTACAAGATATATTGCCTGTCACCTGCACCCACTACATTACCATAACGTGACCAGATTTGGATGATTAACGGATGAGTCGTCGCAAAAATAAATCTTATATTCATGATATTATTGTAAGAAAAGTGCTTTTTCCGATTACAGATGAGCAAGTCAGCAGTTCTATTTACTATTTGAATAGTAAATGATCGATTATTTATAAATTTTTGTATCGTAGCTTGCTTATTTTAAATGTTATGTGTAAATAGATGGAATGACGGCCTGATGAAACATGCAGAGAGTCGATGGTCGCAGGTGAATCAGCCGTGCTTCATGGCATTTCGTACAACAATTTCAAAGTCAAAGGCCACTTTAAAACATATAATAATTTTTATTAAATAGTTTAGTCTTCATGGGTGGCTTCAAATAAATTTCACCTAAGGATGCCGAACTTTAAAGTTTTTTATGTAACTATTTTAAACGACATTGAGCTCATGATATTTCTTAGTCCTCTTAAAAGGGGAAAAATTTAATTCTTTGAAGTCGGCTTTTATTTTTATGAAAATTAATTTATTTGGTAATTGAACTATTGTGCCGCTTGATGGCGTTCTGTTTTCATCCTGTTCCGTCTCATGGGTGTCGTCAGAGGCGACTATTGTAGACTAACACGTTACTATGGCTTGAGGTTGATGCCGGTGTAACCATCCAGCTTACAGCAGACGTTAAACAAGTAAAGAGCTAGCGACGCTGAGACTAGAACAAACTAGCGACGAGAGTCAGAAGATGCGAGATGTCTGGTACTACGATTGTCAATCCACCTACCAAGCATGGCGATGTTGGCAAATCCTTTGTAAAACTGAGAGAAGCTCATGTCCAGAGGTTGATTATAACAGCCTGATGAATTAATGAATAAAAACCTGTACAAAACCTTCGTCAAGTCAAATGCAATTTAGTCATATATATACCGTGGCTTTATTATGTTATAATAATGAGTCGGCTCGATTGGGGTAGAACCACGCTCTCACAGAATACCAGCATAAAATACCAGCTTAATTCATTCAGCTGTATTTCGTATGGTGAGTGAAGAGAACAGTAAACCCGTTTTACTGGAAATATGGCATTCCAGATTTAATTTCGATTCTTAATCGAGAATGGATGTATATGTTTATGGGTCACAGTATCCACTTACCATCAGGTGGACTATGTACTTGTTTTACCCTTATTTTTTTTAAAACTTAAATTTACCTTTACTTAAGAAAAGCTTATAGAGTGACCAAATTTCAAGCCTCATATTTTATATTTTGAGGGCTATCTCCCATCTTCATATGTTATTTTCTTCATATATTTATTGTACTAAGTTTGGAAATGCAAATTTAAGAAAATAAAAACTTTTTAAAACCGAAAATGTTACGTAATTATCTAAATCCACAACAACGAGATTATATATGAATATTTAAAACAATACTTTTTTAAAGATAGCGAAATGTTTTCCTTAACAATCTTATTTTGTTGCAATAGAAGCATCGAAGTTTATTTGTAAATGAACAAATTTTACGAGTACGAATAGTTCCATTTGACTAACGAACTAAAAGAAATAAATGCAGCATGAAGTGTTTTGGCACTTACAAAGATTCCATTTAAGAAAATTACTTTCAAGAACTAGTTTCTCGCATCTTCTTTAAGTCGATACAGGCAGACAAATGCATTAAAATACCTAAGTAAGAAGTTTCTTTCCAATATATTTGTCATATTTTTTAGAAAATAATAATTTATTGATATAAGATGACGGTGATCATATATATGTGAGATGTTCGCCATGTAGTGGCGGCGTAAGAGAATCCACTACCCCATATCAATTTTATATTACTGATGACAGCTAAAGATAATAAAACACTGAGGCTACCAACCCTCCTGCCAGCGTGGCCACCATGCTATATGAAAGGGGAGGTCTATGTTCAGCAGTGGGCTTTTAGTAGGCTGTAATGAGCTAACAATGAATGAATGTCAGTTGTAAAATAAAGCTGGTATTCTGACACAAATTTGAGTTGAAGCTCATTCTTCATATCATGTCACACAAAATTTGTGGATTTTAAGTTTAAGCCCGAGATGGTCTCTGATAGCAATAGAGCAGTGTAAAACGCTTGAGATTATGTTAATATGATTAATGTTCCGTTTGCCAAATGGAGAAATCATTATAAATGACTACAGACTATTTCAGAGCTGACGTTAATGATAACGAATTTTGTAAAAGTAATATAATAATAATAATAAATCTTTTTTAAACATCTCAATTCACAAATTGTTATTACAAATGTACATAAGAAGATTATCAAAATCTCAGCATAAAACAAAAACTCAGCTATGTTGTGATCAAAGCTGCCACATTCTGCCTATGCATTATATTCTGCCACAGACTTTTCTCTTTATAATACTTGCGTCTACGGGTGCCTCCATAGGTTCCATAGATATAATGTTGGATGAGTTGTCTTAATCGTCAAGCATTGCAGGCTGATTGACGATCCCATTGTAGAGGCATCGTAAGAATATCCACTGCCCTAAATCGTCCCGTGGGTGTGTCCCCTGATGTGACAGAGGGAACTGAAACAGACAAGAGCATCTTCCTGAAAACAACTCAATATAATAAACTGCGATTGCCAATCCGCCTGCCAAGCGTGGCAGCTATGGCAAAATCCTCCCTATGAGACAATCAATGGGAGAGACCTATGTTCTACAGTGGACTTTTATAGGCTGTAATGGATAAATGACGATCCCAGTACCAAACCTCTAGCACTATGCTATGCTGCCTGTTACTGGTCTGGGTATTTTAAGTCTGAAGTTGACGAGATGGTAATAATACCATCAATCGGAAGTCACGAGGTATTTTATTCCCTGGCTACACGCTACTACTATCCTATAGTCGCCTCTAACGACACTCACAGGACTTGACTGGCAGACAGTGGTTTTAGCACTGAGTCCACATTTTGTTCCTATACATTAAGTAAGGTTCAATAAAGAATATATAATTAAAATGGATTTCATGCAACCGGAGCCAAATTCGTACAAATATTTAATCATTTTGCTAAACATCTGTTGGACTAAAGTCTAAGCAAAAGAAACATTTTTTGATTTAAAGTCTTAGATACTTTCAATAAAGGGCTGCTACTATGTGTGCTGCAACAGTTACAGATATTAAAAAATGATATGAGTAACTGCACTGCTGAATGAACAAGCAAAGTAGTTCTAACTCAACTCACTTAAACATCTTTACGCTTCTTAATAACATGTTGCAATGTGTACGTTTGTCACTCTCACGGTGGCCAGCGATTGGTTACGTGGTTGGAGTAGCCCACCTACGTTTTGCAGAAGCCGCTTCTGCTATACTAATTTTATTTTTATTAATTGTGACACAGATTAAACAATAAGTTATACAAAAAGTTTCTCGAGATAATAACACATGGCTTTAGTTGTAATTGATTACTAATTAGATGAATATTTTCATATACATTTTAACATATCCTCTTATCAAAATAACATACATTCACAAAAAATAAATCATGAATTTTGGATACAAATCAATATATAAAGGGAGTCCTTTATCTTAATATATTTATATCTTATAGTCTCTAACACGGCATTCTAGTCTACTTCGGATGTTAATCCCTAAATGAATTATTGGCAACGGTAGTTAAGAACGAGTGTCCTGCTTTGATATCTTATGTGTGAGTTTGCGCTTCTGTATTAGGTTTACACATGTGGCACTATAATATATCCTTTATTGTATTAGAACTTAGATTAAAACTTCAACAAAAAGTATACTTAACAATAAACACTTAATATTTCACTCGCTACTATCTATTTGAAACAAATAAAATAGCATATTGATTTTTAACATAAATCCGCCCATTTAAATGGTGCAAAATATTTACTGTATTATTGGATTAGAATCCAATCTATCGTTTTTTAACGCCATAGTTGTTGTTTTTTCTTTTATACAAGCCTTACAATATCTTTAGAAATTTATTCAATAGATTTAATCAATTGTAAATAATTGATCACTTAAGGAATACGGATCGTATTAAATAAATTTCGGAATTATTTGTATCAAACTAAATAAGACACAATTTTATTTCACAATGTGGATCTTAGTTATTTATAACGTGTTTAATTTTTTATGTAGGAAATTAAACAAGTACGTCCAATAATCCGCAGCTGACGGACCGCACACTTTATTTTTATTATTATTATATATGGGGGGTATCAATATAGTTTTCTCATCTGGTTGGGTTCTATAAATATATAATTATAAATGAAAATGAAAGATAAATATACATAAGTATCAAAAACATAAAATAAATATAAAAATACATAAATAAATAAAAGCCCAACCAGATGGAGGCCCTCGGCAGGGAAGACCAAACGGCCGAGGGTTAGGGGAAAAGAAAAGAAACCGGCGGACGATGCGGGCGGTATCGAGGAGCACCGCCTTCTGCATTTAAGCCTGGAGCGGTCCGCCACGTAGTCCCAGCCGCCTCAGATGATCCGAGAGGCTGACTGGGATAAGCCCGTTTGCAGAGACGACTACAATACGAATAATTTCGGTCGGCAGACCAACCCACATGTCGGTCACCTCGTGAGCCAGGTCCAGATATTTTGTTTGCTTATCTGTTTCGGCTTTCACGAGGTTCTAGTCATACGGAATGGTAATGTCGACCAAAAATATCCTTGACTGTGCCCGGTCCATCATCACAATATCAGCTTATTCGCAAGAATAGTCCTGTCTGTGATGATGGCCCGGTCCCAATAGAGTCTGGCGCGATGATTTTCGAGCATGGCTTCCGGCAAGTACTTGTAATACGGCAATTTCCAATCCACGAGACCGTATTTCAGAGCGAGCACCTGGTGTAGAATTCTGGCTACTAGGTTGTGCCTGTGCAAGTACTCCGAGTTAGAAAGCGCCGAACAACCGGAGATGACATGCCTAAGTGACTCACCGGGATGGCGACAAGCTCGACAGACGTCGACAGTGCCATCCTTTGGGATGTATCTCCGATAGTTTTGGTCTTAATAACCTGATCCTGTATTGCACAGACAAAACCCTCGGTTTCCCCGAAGAGATCACCAAAGCGTAGCCAGTGAAGGGAGGCTACTGTGTCTATAGAAGGCTCATGTAGAGCCTTGTAGAACCTCCCGTGGAGTTCTTTCTCCTTCCATACGGTCTCCCGGTCGGAAATGCTCTGCACTGCCGGGTCTTGCCATTGCTCGTTGGCTAAGGATAGAGGGATAAGTCCTTTATCTCAAGAAATGACGTCTTTATAAAATGGATCATCCGATCTCGCCAGGAAGTAATTACGGAGGCTGTACACTTCGCGATTATGCATGGTGAGTGCGCTCAAGAAGCCGCGCCCACCATACTTTCGCGACAAGTACATCCTTATTACCGACGATCTCGGATGATGCATCCTATGGGACGTCATGGTAGTGCGTACTTTTCTATCCAGGACGTTAAGTTCAGTCTGAGTCCACCTGAGTATGCCAAAGGTATACATGAGGACAGACATGACCAAACCGTTATATGCGTGTGTCTTATTCACACCGGACAAAATGCTTTTAAGCACTTTGGTCAATCGTGCATAAAACACGTCGCAAACCGACTGTTTCGTACCAGCCTCATCGATACCGATGTTCTGTGACATACCCAGGTATCGGTATGTTTCAGCCTCGGAAAGGGTCCTTAAGTTGACGGGCATAGATAAGTCTATGCCCTCCGAGTTAGCAACCCTTCCCTTTCAACATGGAGGACCGCACACTTATCCGTCCCCAGCTCCATTCCAATAGAATTGCTAAATTCACAAGTGATGTTTAGCAATTTCATAAGATGGGAGCGACTGGGGGCGAATAACTTGAGGTCATCCATATAGAAAGGGTGGGTCACTTTGTCCCTCCCTTCCGTAGCTGAAATCCTCTCCCGGAGCCCTCCAGTAAGGTACTGAGAGGGTTTAGAGATAGGCAAAACCAGATTGGACTCAGACAATCGTCCTGGAAGATACCCCTTCTTATCCTTATGTGGTTCTCCGCAGCCATCATCCGCTCGCCCAGATGACAAAGGATCGTACTCCACTGCTCCATACACTGCCCGAGGAAGTCTCTTACTGTACAGTCAATCTTGTACAACTCGCGTACCCTCTTTAGCCATGTGTGGGGCACCGAGTCGAATGCCTTTCTGTAATCTATCCAGGCGGCGGAGAAGTTCCGACGGTTGCATTTCACCACTTTTCCAATGACCGCGTCAATGAGGAGTGGTTCCTTGGATCACCTGATTTAGCTCCAGGTGACGAGTGATTCTCGCGCTCAAAATGGATGTCAGTGTCATATATGGTGGGTAGACACGTGATGGGGCGGTATTTGCTCTGGTATCCTGATCTTTAGGAACCAAGTGAGTGATCCCAGTAGTAAAGAGACTCGGGAGCGATTTCTGATCGAAGAGCCTCTTGAAACTGTCGGGCGAGCACAGCGTGACACACTACGAAGTACGAACCCCTTCAGCCAGTAATGATGCAGCACTAATTATTATATGACTTTTTAAAAAGATTTTAATGGCCTTTGGCCTAACAAATATTGACTAACTTAAAGGCTTAAAACAAGATTTAAAATAATGACGCTAGTATTCGAGCAAAGCTTCCGCATATGTTATTATTATAATTATTACATATTATTATTATGTTTATCGAATGGTCAAATATTCTGATACGTGATATAGATTAGTAGACTAATCAGTGAATGAACAGCACTAGCGAAAATTTAACTACTACAGTAAACGATAGTATATAGTAAACGATTTTTCAATATTAGAATGTAAAGCAAGCTAAAATCCATCTCAAGGTAAGTGGCTAATGCATCCCTAAAGACCTGCAACCAACTTGAAACATTGAACACCACACATGCGGGGTCACTCCTGACGTTAAACATGAAATACTGATTAATTATGCTTTTTAAACACGAATCCAGAAGTAAGCATGTAGGTGCACAGTTACACGGCAGAAATAAGTAAGAGTGTGCTAAACACTTAGGCATTTTTAAAATGAACAATAAAAAAAATATAAATAAAATAACTGTCTATAAATCCTGTTTTAAGGAAACATTCTCATCTCGAATCCCTTTTTTAAGTTTTAAGAGGAGAGGAAGGTTTTAAGAGGAGCTAAAAAAATTGCAACATATCAGGAAAGTTGGCAGACTCACATACCTTCAAAGCTCCGCTTTCTCCCCTTAAAAATGTTTAATTCATCATCCGCCGAGTACGTAAAGAATCATGGATTAAAATTATATTACAAATGTGAGAATCAAATAATTGTAATTCTCACTCTCATGAAAAAGATTGTTAGGCCATTGGATCATTACATAAATAAAGTTTTCAGATCACCACTCGATTGATGCATCAAAAATAGAATAAAGCATTTCAGCATAATCATCATCATCATTATTACAGCCTATTGAAAGCCGACAATTTGACATAGGCTTACCTCATATTTGCCATAGTTGCCACACTGCGCGTGCGGGTTGCTATCTACTGTCCATATCTTGTTTACGGCCTGGCCACGGGGAACGGCGGCGCGAACGGCGAAGCGACAGGCGGGGCGAAAATTCGCGCGGCGCGATTTGAGGGCCACGGGATGTCACATTTGCCGCCGCGACCAGATAGGCCGAGAGTGAAATGTCTTTATCAAAGTTATCTCGATATTGCTTAGAAAGTAATTGTTTTTTGATTCAAGACATAATATTTGGAAAAGATAGCGGAGTACATGATTTGAATAGGAATCGGGTTATAGATGGAGAATTCCACAACAAATAGAATGCATCTAGAAAAAAATTTCGAGTAAATACCAGAATGAGTGTCGAAACCTGCGATTATATTCTTGTTAATATTCAACCAGAATTGGAGATAAAAGTCAATGCGGATAGAATTTTAAGTTTTTTTGTCGGCCGGGCATTTTTCTCGGCGAAAACAACTAAAATATCTTGTTCCCTATACTATTCGCCGCGTCTGCCATCGCGTCTGCCGCCCGACTCCGTGGCTTGCACCGTACTGATTCATACATTTGTTTCATTCGCCCGCCGCGCCGCCAGTCGCCAGCGCGATTCGCCCGATAAATTTCGCCGGTCGCGTCGCCACTCGCCGCTACGCGTGGCTTGCTCCATACATTTCTATACATTTGTTTTAGTCGCTAGACGCCTCTCCGTTCGCGCCGCACGAATTTTCGCTACGGCGAATGTCCCGTGGCCAGGCTGTTAATTTCCTTCTGCTGTCTCTTATGACATCCACAAGAAGCTAAGGGTTAGGGATTCCCTTACGGAGCCATTGTACGGCAGGGGTACGCCAAGCGGTTATATGAAAACTGCACCTCAAAGTTGGTCTTGAACATGTGTGATAGATAAATTGTCATTGTTATATTTACAAAATTGTCACCTGAAAGACTTATAGAGGGGACCGATGGTTGGTAGTATGCTATGCTCAAGACACTTCACAGAAGACAATCTTCATATTATAAAAAACCGTAGAAGGCTGTTGGATTCCGCTTTACCATCCCTATACTTGCCAGTTTTAGTATGGACTTTTTTTATAGTATATTACCTATGTAGATTACGCAATAAGTAACAGCATTAAGTGGTTGATTGAAACATGATATTCTACAATTTAGGCAAATGTTACACCACGAAATTAAACTATACTTCTCATCAAAAAAATCGAAACACCTTCGTTTTAATTTGTTAAAAAATTTAAACACCTAATTTAATACAAAATAGTTTTCATTCCATGAAAAAAAAAAACGTTATTGTATAGCGGGCAATCTGGCCATTACAATGGTAAGCGAAAATTCAAAATTCGAAATTAGAATTTCATTTGTTTATCCTCTAAATGAAATGAATCACTATTTTGAGACAAATGTGCGTCTACAGTTGGAAACCATTTCACGTTTAAAAGCATTGAGCTATTATGTACTACGTACTAGAGGCGACACTGCATTCAGCTACTCTGTTCCACTCAACTGCGGTGCATACACCGCACTTTAATCAGTCACTCGCTAGGCGCTTGTAGAGTTGTCACGTGTTGTGTGGGTTTAAAAAAATGACTTGATAAAAATATGCCGTCGTGTGTACTTACATATTGCACTAATAATTCAAGAAACCACCACCACCACTCAAACATGCTGCTCCGCCAACAAGTACCCGTTGCCGTTCTCCTCATCTACCCGCTCAACGATAACGACCACTTCTGGACTAAGATTTCGCCTGCAAGACAAATATAAAAATTATATAACATAATTTAGTTCATACATATTTTATGTAATACTAGCTGTTCCCCGCGACTTCGCCTGCGTATTAATTTATGATCATTAGATTTCATGGGTTTTAATTTATTTATGCGGAACCCTAATTATTCCTTATAACACCAGTTATCTGCCAGTGAAAGTCCCGTTAAAATACTCCATAGAGTAAGGAACGTTGCGGCGACGCGGCGTCGAACACTTCGTGTATTGCATTTTTATACCTGTGATAAATTCTAAATTAAATATCCGATTCGAATGAATTACTGCCACATAAATACCTTTAATGATAAAACTATCTATTCAAATAAGAATTAATACTATGAAACGAACCAACTAACCATCCTAGCTACCACGGCTCCTATAAACTATTAAATATAACATAAATGTGTGTAGTAGAATATACACAAATTAATTAGATCGAATCAAAGATGAACTATGAAAAATATAGACTCCAAAGTTTTAGTATAATTCCTTCAACGTTTACATATGCTTATACAACAAAGTCCCAGAAAATATAAGACCTTATCAATCAGTTTAAATTTTTAGTAAGCAAAATTTGTTTAGTAAAGGTTATTATACTACTTAAGAGTAGGTGATTGATAATAATCCCTGGGAATGAGAAGAGTGTACTACCATACTATTTCTAAATGTTTTCATACTAATTTTATTCTATAAAAATATTGTAAATTAATTCTGTTCACCAAAAGTCTCGCTGGGTTTCTAACTCGTTCTTCCCAAGACGGAGGGTTTTTCATATCTTAATGTATAAGAGTGAAGAATTTTCATTGATTGATATAGACAAAGTTTAAAAACTGTAGTAGCTTCTACTTACATACTTTTTTTAAAAAGCTTTAATACAATCATAATAACAAAATTCACTTACGTAAAAGATGGTGACACTGGCAACGGCGGATTTACTTGTTGTGTTGTGTACTTACACTCCAACTGCTGTCCCTGTTCATCAAACATGCATGCAAATTGCAAACTGCATACCCTGCTCCTGAAAAACAAGTATGATGAGACATTTTAGATACACATATAACATATTTTTATGGTCATGAGTTGGATTGATCAGGATAGCACTGCTGTTTTTTAATTAGTAAGTGAAAAAAACCGGAGACACTTTTCATATATGTGTGTTCATGTTTACGTTATATGATAGGTGTAGATAATTTATAAGCTGTTTTAAAATGGTATAAAAATACCAACATGTATATACATATATATACGGGACGGTAAACCAACATGACAAGAGAGAGATCAGACGCAGGAGCAATGGCCGTACATGCTTTTCGAGGTACGGGAGTGAGACAGCGCCGACTTCCTGACTCCGGGCTGCTACTGGGAATTTCTTGACGGAAAAACTCATAAACATAATTTTTATTGACCCGTACCAGAATTCGCACCCGGAACCTCATAATCATCAGTCACGTTATACAACCACTACATGCATTCATTATTATAATTATAATAAAGATCAGAGTATAATAAATAACTTACAACATTATTATGTGAAAATATTTCTTCCTCTTCTTCGCTGAGATCGCCGTCGTCTGATTCACACCATAAAACATCAAATTCCGTCATTTTTCTGAAAATGTATGTAGTAAACACAAGTGAACATTTTGTGTCTTCATGAAGCTCGAAAAGAGTAATAAGACAAAGTTTATAAAATTAACATATTATATGAATTATGAAATACTAAATTACTATACTCAAATAACTACTATGTAGAAAAAAAACACTCGAAATTTCATAAAGAAAAGAAATATATAACATAAAATTATATCGACATCGTAATAATATACACTCAGTAGGAGCCTCTAATAAATTGAAATAAAATCAGTCATAGGTATATATTTATTTGTTTATTATGTATTGTTTATTGAGCAACGCCATTTTTGTTGAAAATAACTTCGCCCTTTTCACGATATATCGAAATTATAATATAAAACGTCATTTTTGCACGTTGGACTGTATAAAATATGAGTTCCTGTGTTTTTTTCATGATTTATGATCGATGTGAGTTATTTGTTGCATATTATGCGCTTGGACTTCGCCGTCGACTTTGGTGCACTACTGCTACTAACATTTGGTGTAACTTACTTCGATCCGATGCAGTAGGCTTTTGATATTGTGTAATGAGCTCATCGAGGTCCTTGGTGTCCGACAGTCGATGGCGCTTACCACGAGGCAACTTGACGTATATATTACCATCAAAAGACCAAACTTATCTAATACCAAAGTGTTTACGTGCAGCAAAGCCAAACAAACCCATCAAACGAGGGTACAAAATTTGGGCATGTTGTGACTCCGAGTGAGGATATGGTATCCTCACTCGGAGTCACAACATTTCTCATTTCTCTCTCTCACTCATTTGATATTTGCACAGGTAAGGCCACTTTAACAGATGAAAATTCTGTTGGTCTTGGTTATAGAGTGGTAATGGATCTATATAGAAATGTCCAACCAACAATGTTTACCTCTTCTGGAGATTGGATAGTTACTATTTATTTATTGGATAGTTGTTGATAGTTGTGGATAGTTGGATAGAACTGCAGGATAGTTGAATAAATCTTGACGCTTAAGAGTAAGAAACTCTGAAAGCATATATGAAGTGCCTTTTAACAGAGTCTTTTTGGCCCAAATGGTTGACTTAATAGATCTTCTGATGACTAAACCGAATCAGAACTGGTCTCGCACGAGCATCCGATACTGCACCTAGATGATAGCTGGCTATAGTGGAGCTTGAAGTAAATTCCTGTAGTTGAAGCTTGTTCTGCAGGACAGTTACAACTTTATCTAATATGTTTTCATCAGATGATTCCGGAACTCCATTAAGTAGCAAATATTTTCTCTCATGCCGCATCTCAATATTATCAACCGTTTGACTAACCTCATTGATCTTCTGATGTAGTAGTGACATGATTTTCCAAACATTATCCTTAAACGCTTGAAAGTCGTTTGAGAGAGATTTCATGTCGGGAACTGGGGTGGCAGATTTTTTTATAAGTGCTTCAAATTCCGCCATACGTTGTTTGAGAGAAGTTAACGCAGCCTTTTGGATATATGATAACTCGACAATAGTGAACATTTCTTGAAAACCTACTTTTTGGTGTGTTGTGAGAGTTGAAAGTGACCGGTGGTAGGGTGATGTAACTTTATCACAGTTTAACCATTAAGGCAAGTTAAACCCACAATGTGTGTATTTAGATACACAAAAATAGTAAAAACTGTAAACTAGGAAACTAAATTACTTAAAATATCAATAAAAACAATTTAGTATAATAATTTAGTTAGTAATATATTTTTAATATTTTAAGCGTGTTCCTTCCCCGGTCCAGTTGACCCATTCGTGCTACAACTATACTACTAATATAGCTGCAGCGTGACATGCAGGATATAAATGTTGTGTTTTTATACTTTTTTTTTATAGTTTAATATATACTTAATATCCCATATCATTGGATAAAAAAAATTGCTGAGATTACAAAATAAAATGACTTCACTCTAAATCCAATATGAAGGACTCACAAAGATGGTGGGCTATTTTTGTTATTCACTCCCATGATATATGAAATATATGGATATTAAATGAACGGGTTCGCTGAGGAGAATACGAATAAAATTGAGTAAAATCTAAAATAAAGAGCAGGATTAAAAAAAATTGAAGACTGTTTTTATGTCACGAAAGATAAAAATTAAAAAATGTTTTGAAAAGGGTCGATTTGTTGCCAGATCTGTCATAATAAACAACTAATTGTGACTTTCCTTAGTCCTTCCTACTTTTCTGTACCTATTTATATGTTGAAACGATAAACACAGCAATAATATCAAATGTAGGTACTACAAATATTCACCCACCTATTAGAATTAGATAATATAATTACAAACTTAAGTAAATATGTCAGATCTGCCATTCTATGCTCTGAAATGAACTAAAATTAAGCATTTTGACCGCAGTGTCTTTTCCTGTTTCTCTATTTACGTAATTTATGCAGACGAGATATAAAAATAGTATGATAGATAATCATATATAAAAATAGAACAACGTACATACATAGCAAGGCTCAGTCTCCTCTCATTCCTGGTTTAGAGACGGGAAGAATCCGCACCGCTCTTCTGTGTTGTTATAAGTTCTCAAGAATTTCAGGTTATCATACGATGTTTGCTTTCCACCAGGCTTAACTAATAAATGAGTGCTTACCTCCAGCGTTATTGAAATATACTGAAATGAACATACAATAAATTTTATCATGAATGAAAATAATTTGTATTTCAGCAAACAAGCTAAACAAGTTTTGTACGTGTTGAGTACAAGGGAAAAGCATGTAAGAGAAAGTCATGTAAAATGTTTGCTGCTTAGTCCGTGAACTGAATTATGATTTGTGCTCAGTAAAGTAAAGTTACAGCCTATATACGTCCCACTGCTGAGCACAGGCCTCCCGCTCATTTCTGAGAGGGTTTTAGGGCAAGTAATTGTCCGCCGCGCTGCTCCAATGCGTGTTGGCGAACTTCACATGTCTTCAAAATATTTTTTTGTTATTTCTCTGACATGCAGGTTTCCTCACTATGTTTTTCTTCACCGCCGAGCACGTGGTAAATCAGCACTTAAAGTTGCAATTAACAATTTCATTGGTGCCGGCGGGGATCGAACCCGGTTTGCTTGCGTACTGTAAATTTACAGCGAGTGCTAACCATCTGAGCTACCACGGCTCTCACGGGGATTTGTGCTGAGATGAAATTATAATTTGTCTATTTTATTTCATTTATTTATTTGATCTTTTCATATTTTTATAGCTCTTTCGTGGTATCGGAAGATTTGATTGAAGATTAAATAAATTTATTTGCCTTCCATTATAGTTATTCTTTACGATATATAATTACTAGTTATTTATTACGTCATGATATAAGATTCACCACTCACATAATTCAGGAAGTTTGTTTTATCTGTGTAAGCTTTACCAGACACCAATATCATGAGCCGGCGCCAGTAAGAAATTATTTCTTTTATTCATTTATTTCTCCCAGGGTTGACTGGTAGAGAATTCCATAAGGCATTAAGTGCGCCAATGTATCCTTTGGATTAAGAAGTATTACAATAAAACATATTTTTTTTAATTTAATAAAAAATTACTTGGAAATTGTATGTGGTTTTATTTCCTCTAACTCACACGAGTATCGATAATGCGGGTTCTATGACAATCCTCTTACTCAGCGGCCAATGCAGAGATAGATATATACAATTTCCAATTTAATTTTTTTTAATAAAATTATTTTTTAAATGTTTTTTTTAAGAAAAAAATTCATTACGCTTAAATACTGATTTTAATAACGCATTTTACGGGAATCACAGGGTTTTTGTTACATGTTGTATATGTACATATACAAGCCATATAGCTCGAAGAACCGACAACCGTTAGGGAAAAAGGTTCTCGAGTGGCAACCTCGTATCGGTAGGCGAAGTGTAGGGCGACCTCCCACTAGATGGAGTGACGACCTGGTAAGACATGCAGGAAGTCGATGGATGCAGGTGGGTCAGGACCGTGCTTTGTGGCCTATGTTCAGCAGTAGACTTGTGAAGGGCTGTTATGATGATGATGATGATGATGATATATAGCACGCATTGATCATGATCTGTAAGGAACTGGATAATTATTTTCTCTTGGTGATCCTGATACTAGCATAAAGTTATAAAATTATTGTATTGTCACCGTTGCAAGTCAATCAACGGTCTAAACGTTGGTGAAAATTACATCGAAAGATTCCCTTACATAAAAAGACAGATAGAATAATATATAGATACACATTAAGTTAATAAAAGCATATTTAAATATCACAAAAGGTCACAAAGGTGTTCTCTTCACTTCAAACGAATATAAAATACTCTACCACACTATTTTCACCTTTCAATTGCAAATAGGTCAGACTTCTTTATACTAACCATTGGATCCCACTTGAATCTACCGGTCGCACGCACTGATCGGCTGGAAAATTGGCACCCCAATTTTCTTTGCGTGTTCCAACAAGCAAATCCATTGATCACACAAATTTAAGTATGAACAGTTCGTTGCTTAGTTTTGAATCATGAAATAGATCGTTTTTTATTTGAAATGTACGGAATATTTTTTATTTTTGTAAAATAAATTAATATATGGGTTTGTTTAAGTAAATTTGCTTTCAATTAATAGGTTGTATTACTATATCTATACATAAATACATACCTCATAAGTACATTAATTATCATATCACATCACATCAAATTAATTTTAAACATTTATTATATAGTTTGTAGGGTAAGTGGCATTAACTGATACGAAATATATGTCAAACAATGAATAGACGATCAGGCAAGGCTTGTGAATAGACGTGGAACAATCGAGAGTGTTTTGTTTTACAGTGGCGACGAGGAAATTTAGTTGTAATAAGTGTATAAACTGAGAAAAAAAAATTGTGTAAAACAATGGAAAATATCGGCAGGCTCGGAGAATTCGATGTGTCTAATGTAAATTGGAAATAATATTGCGAAAGATTGGATATGTACTTTTTGGTTAACGGTGTCAAAGAAGAATTGAAGTTACCCATGT